GTGTGTCATGTCAGTACATGAAGTGGTGTATGTAGGACGGCATCCACTTCACATACAGCTACAACAACCATCTCAAACACAGCTGTGTCCAAGAGCCCCTGCAACATAATGCAGCCCCGCCTGCCTGCAGCCGCCCACGGCGGCATGGAGGGCAGCCTGTCAGCTCCCCCACTGCAGGAAGAAATGAGGACAACGCGCAAGCCAAATGCCTAGCTTCTGGGACTGAACAAGGCATCGGGAAAAGGAGCTGGTGCTGTTGCCACGGCTGATTTTACATCTCCGTAACCAAGAAAGGAGCCTGCTTGAGTCAAGAAGTCTCATTTAGCATTCTGAAGTGTGGGAGGGAGGAGGGAGGGAAGCAAGAACTGTCATACGGTTTTAGCAGCCACCCCTGCCTGCCCTGGCTGGCTGATGTGGGATCCACAGCACAGGGAGGAGTAGGCTGCATGAAAGGCGGCTGGGAAGTGAGGGGCATGTCTGCACTGCCTGCTGGGAGGTCAGAAGGTCAGAGCCATAACCAAGGAGTCCGGGAGTGGTGGCAGCAGCACAGCTCCGGATGCCATTCCTTTCCATCCTTCATGTCTCATGCAGCTTCACAGCAGTACGGCGATGGGAGCCCTACACTAGTGTCCTGGGACTGCTCTAACAAAGAACCATGGACCAGTGGATGGCTTAAAGCAACACGCATTCAGTAGGCCAGTTCTATAGGCCAGAACTCTGAAAATAAGGTATTAGCAAGGCCATGCTCCTGTGGTGGCTCTGGGGGAGGATGCTTCCCACCATTTCCAGCTTCTGTTTGCTCCAGATGTTTCTGGGCTTGAGTCTACTCTCTGTCCCATCTTCATGTGGCCTTCTCTCCTCTGTGTCGATCTGTGTCTTTTCCTCTTCTGTCTCTTACAAGGGCAGTTATCACTGGATTTAGGGTCCAAAGGGATAATCCAGGATGATTTCATTGTGAGATCCTTAACTTAGTGACATCTGCAAAGACCCCTTTTTTAAAATAAGGCCACATTCACAGAACATATTCTGATGCCCTTTAGAGCAAAATCCTCAACATACTTTTCTTAACTATCCTCAGCACCTGCACAGGCTTGTGCATTTAATGATACCAACAAACATTTGGAGATCGAGAATAGGTTGCTTGAAGGATAAGAAATGGAAGTCCAGCAAGGGTAAAGTGATGACTCAAACCCAGGCAGCTGGCTGACAGAGACTGCAACCCAAAGGTAGGCCTCACGATTCATTTATGGCCCCTCTCTGCATCCATATGCTCAACGGAAGCAGTGTGCCAGGTTCCACACAGTAGACTCAGTGCAGCAAGGGGAAGGCAAACAGGACCCTTCATGAATCAAAGCAATCTACTCATTGGTTTATATTATCTCAGCTATGTGATCAGAAGGAAAGATATGGCCCCAAAAGGTCACAAATAAGTAATTAAATCAAGAAAACATCCCCCTTCGCAGCTATAAATAGCAATGTTTCTATGATATGCTACATGTTACTGCACTGGAGGCTGCGTGGTAAAGAGTAGGGTGAAGGCAGGAAGTGACCCACAAAGGAGCATGAAGGGAAGAGGATTACGATGCTTTCCATTACCTTTCTTTATTTGGGCGCTTTACAAGGCACCTCACACAGAGCCTGGCCCAAAGAACATGTTCAATGAATGGTGGCCATTATTAAAAGGTATTCATGCTTTGGTCACTAGCCATGTCTCTATCTCACTTATATTTGTACATACAAGTATACAAATATTCATGAAGAAGTCAACAAAAACTCTTAAGAGGTGAGCTATATAGTAATAATCACACATTTATAGAAATAGTGTAAAGTGGAGCCAGCCACAGAATGGGAAAAAAAACTTGCCAACTGCATATCTGACAAAGGCCTAATATCCAGGATCTACAAGGAACTCAAGCGTGCCAAAAAAACAAACAGCCCCATCAAAAAGTGGGCAAAAGACAAGAATAGACACTTCTCAAAAGAAGACATATGAGTCTCCAACAGATGCACAAAAAAATGTTCAGCCTCACTAATCATCAGAAAAATGCAAATCAAAACCACACTGAGATACCACCTAACTCCAGTAAGACTAGCCATCATTA